CAGCGCATCACCGCGGAGCTGAAGCGCTACAGCATCCCGCAGGCCATCTTCGCGCAGCGCATCCTGTGCCGCTCGCAGGGCACCCTCTCCGACCTGCTGCGCAACCCCAAGCCCTGGAGCAAGCTGAAGTCCGGCCGCGAGACCTTCCGCAGGATGTGGAAATGGCTCCAGGAGCCTGAGTTCCAGCGCATGTCCGCGCTGCGCCTCGCAGGTAGGATCGCCGCGCTAGCCGCCGGGCCCTGGGCACCCGGGGCCCTCCCCACGCCCCTGCCGTGCGCCTCGCCAGCTCAGACCCGACCGCCAGAGGCTACATCGAGATCTGAGCCTCTGCGTGTTCGTACCGTCGCCAAAAGGGAGAAAGGAATTGTGCCGTCGTCCCCCCACCCCACCCCGTCGCCACCCTTGCCCCTTTGGGGACGGGCAGGGGTCCCTGGTCTCCTTTGCCCTGCTGGGAGGGTCGACGCGCTTCCCGGCGCAGGGCCCAGGGTTGCTTATTGTGCGCGCGCGCTCGCCCGCCTTGGGGACAGGGGTGCTGTGTCCCCGGACCAGCCGCTGCTGTCCCCACGGGATCCCACTCCCCTCCTCTCCAAGGCCCCAAGAAAGAGGTCGCCTAGCCTCTAGCCCCGGGCCATGAAGGGCCGAGTCGGTGCACCGACCCTGGCGCCTCTGCAGCCCGGGCCGGGCCGCGCTCAGCCCCCAGCCCCAGCGCGCTCTTCTTTGTACCTCGGCCCCAGCGATCGATAGCCCCCTCCCCCACTCCGGCCGCTGGCAAAGGTCACCCGAGAGGGGGCGGGGGAGGGGCGGCCCGGGGGACCCTGGGCTCGTGCGGCCCGGAGGCCTTCACACCCGGGCCCGCTGCCCGCCCGCCCCACCTTCGCTCCGGCCTCGGGTGTGCGCGCCGCGGCCGGCCTTGCTTTTGGGGTTTTGTCTCTCCCGTTTCCACTCCTCTGTGCGCGGCAAACCCATGGCGGTTTATTTTTCGCTTGCCCTCCGTTTCTCTCCGGTAGCTCCTGCTGCTTCCTTCTGTCCCTCCCAGGCCCACTCCAATTGCTGCCCCCTGGGACTCCGCTCTCTCCTCCCTCCCAGCTGACCACAGCTGGGTCGACACCTGCCCCCAGCCAGGAAGCCGGCTCAGGACCCTGCATCTTGTGTCTTTGTGGGGTGCAAGAAAGAGAGCCCCAGCCTAGGTAGGGGGTCTTCCCCTGTTGGCGTTGGGGAGCGGGCTGTGCACCCTGGGCCTCAGCTACAATAGCAGCTTCCAGCACCCGATCGATCAGTTGGCTTTCTTTCACACAAGGGCGAGAAGGGCAGGGACTGATGGGGCTCCAGCCAGATGCCCCAGTAGTGGGTGACATTAGGGGTTGACTGTGTCCCCAGCGGCCTGCCCCCCAAACATCAGGCCTGATGCCCCCTTGCCGCGCCCCCCCCAACCCGCAACCCACTCCCTCCCCACAGCTGAGGTCCATGGCACAGCCTGCACTCATGGCCAGGCCTCAGTTTACCCCTTCTGCAGAGCCCTGTGTCTGGCTGGAGTCCCTTCTCCGACTCGGATTCTCTTTAGGTTTTGGGAAAATAAATTGCTATTTGAAAGTGGCAGGTACCTAAGTCCCTGGGGAGGTGGTTTGGGGCACGGTAGAAACAGCTATCAGAACCCGGCCTGGGGCAACTGGGACACACGTTCCCATTGAGGACACTCAGTCAGATCTACACTCAGTGCCAGGTGAGCTGAGGGGGCAGAAAGCTCTGGCCCAGAGATGTCCAGGGGTGCTCCCCAAACCAGGGTTCCACATCGCATACCCACTGCCCACTGCTGCCTCCTTTCTGGTGTGTATATTTGATACACGCCACCGTCTGCCCTCTACCCTTCATACTGTCACTGTATACATCTAAGAGGACCCCTTAGCAGTCCCCATCCCCCCGTCCCGTGCTGGCAGTTGAACCCTTTGAACTGAGCTGAGTCCCCAGCCCTTTTTCATTTTTTTTTTTTTTTTTTTTTGGTACCAGGGATCGAACTCGGGTCCTTGCGCTTTCGCAGCAGGCGGTGAAACCACTGAGCTAAATCCCTGGCCCCTCATTTTTTATTTTGAGATGGGTTCTCACAAAGTTGCCTGGGCTGGGCTCCAACTTGCAATCCTCTGCCTCAGCCTCCCAGAGTATGGGATGACAGGCGATCCACCTGGACAGGCTTCCTTAGTGGTATCGGAATAGTATGTTTTGGGGTCACACAAATAATCAGCCAGAGCGTCACAGAGACAAGCCACCAGCCAGCTGCCAAGTGGCACAGAGGGGGACCTGCTGCCAGGTGAACAGTGCCCACCTGACACTGAGATGCAGGTGCCCTGCCACCCTGTGTCTCTATTCAATTTGTTCACCTCCACTGCCACCCAGGCCACCGTGTTCCTCTACCTGCTCCAGGTGTAATAACAGATGGAGAAACTGAGGCCACATTTGCCCTGGCAATAACTCCTGATTCCTGAAGTGGCAAAGTCTCAGCTCCCCCCGCCAGGTTCCCCATTTAGGAAACAAAAGTTAGAATGACAGCCCTGGAGCAGGGTGTAGTGGTGCACACCTGTCATCCCAGCACTCTGGGAGGCTGAGGCAGGAGGATCAAAAGTTCAAGCCCAGACTGGATGTCTTGGTGACTTAGCAAGACCCTGTCTCAAAATAAAAAAAATAAAATAAAAAGGTCTGGGATGTAGCTCAGTGCAAAGGCCCTGGGTTCCATGTCCAGTACTAAAAAAAAAAAAAACAAAAAACATAGTGGTCAAGGGAATGGGGAACCTGGGCCAGTGCAGGGGTGTGTGTGGGGGGGTCTGAGATAATGAACTGGGACCACTCGGCTCTGCCCAGGCAGTGGCCCGTGCTGTGACCCCATCACACCTGGGCATGCTTGGGGTCATGTCTACACCTCGGGCTCCACCTCCCAGGCCTAGGGCAGCCGGGTAATTAGGCCCCGACCAAGGCCTTTAGTTCCGGTCCCTGCACAAATGAAAAGCGGTTAAGTGGCGGCAAATCGCAGCAGTTAAGGGGGAGGCGGCCAGGCGAGACCCCACTCACCAAGCAGCCCAGCACAGTGACAGCCCCAGCAGCCCGGGCACCTGGAGTGTGCTCCCCCACCCCCTCACCCCAGGCCGAGCCAGTGTCGCCTGGGTCCCTGAGTCCTGACCCACACACAGCCATGTCTGACCCATGTGCTGGCCCCATCCTGGTCTTGACAGTGTCCCCAAGCCCTAGAGTCCTGACAGGGAGAGAAATGGGCACGGAAGAAAGATATACGTGTGGAGAGGCGGGAGAAGGAAGGAGACAGAGGTTGTGGAAGGAGAATGAATGAAGATAGCTGGCTAGAGAGAGAGACAGAGACAGAGAGAAAGATCCAGAGACGGGGAGAGGAAGGGAGACGCAGCAAGAGGGAGAGACTTCATGGGTCCTCCAGGACCCTCTGCTCCCACGTCCCCTGAAACAAGGCCTCTTTCCACCCCTGGATCACAGAGCAGGGGACCAGAAGGGTGTCTGTGATTTCTTTGTTTCACTGAGGCTCCCAAGAAACCCTGCGAAGACTTCAGAATCCCAGTCCCCGCTTCCTAGCCTGTGTGCCTCAGTTTACCCATCTGTAAAATGTGTGTTTTGCTGGGCAGGAGCCAGGTTCCAGCCATGACACTGCGATTCTGGGGATTCTGGGTCCCGCTAGGCCAAAGCCCATCCTATAGCACCCCAACCTCAGGGTCCTCCCCGCCCCCACCTCAGCAGGACTTAAACTGGGATTACAAGAGAGGGGCTGGGGGAGGGGCGGGCCAGCTCCTCCTGGGGGGGGCGGTCGATGAATTCGAATTACCGTCTCTAATTCATCACCGGTCCTGGTCGATAGCTTCAGCCGCCTTCAAATATTGTTTAAATTGCAACTCGGGAGGAAAAGTATTTTTTGTAACTGATCAGAAAAATATACATATATTTAATACAATATAAAAGGGAGGCAGTTGAAAACAGAGCCCACTTCCTCCTCCGCCACCGCCCGTGGGAGGCCAGAGCCCAGAGTCCCTGAGGGATGGGGGGGACCAAATGGGGGAAACTGAGGCAGCGAGGGACAGGCCCAGAGCCAACTGATGCTTAAGCTCTAAATGAAATCATTCGTCCTAAGGATGAAACCTGGAGCGTTTCTAGAACTGAGCGCCTGTGAGGGAGGGGACAGTGGTGGCATTGAGTCCAAATTGGTGTCGTGTGGGCTGGGTGATTTCCTGAGGCTGGGAGTCAAGAGGGGCCTGGGACGGAGAGGAAAAGGAGCCCTGCCCCACCAGGAGCCCACCTGCAGCCTCCATCCGAGGGGTGGAAATGGGGGATCACCCCAGCAGCTGTGTGATCCCAGGAGCATGCCCAGCCCGTCACCCTTAATTAAAGACCAAAGCCCTAGCTGGGCGTTATGGTGCACGCCTGTGACCCCAGCACTCTGGGAGGCTGAGGCAGGAGGATCTCAAGTTCAAGCCCAGCCTGGGCAACTTAAGGAGACCTTGTGTCAAAAAATCAAAATAAAAAGGGATGGAGCTTTTTATGGAGCTCAATTGTGGATGGGGCTCAGTTGCAAGGTCCTAGGTTGAATCCCGAGTGCCAGGAAAAGAAGGAAGGGAGCAAGAAAGGGAAAGAAGGAGGGAGGGGGAGGGAGGGAAGAGAGACCTGGGCTCTGTGTGTCCCTGACTGATCCTGGGCAGGAGCCAGAGCCTCAGTTTCCTCATCTGAGAAATGGGCACAGTTACTGGGCAGCTTGGGGAGTGGACAGCAGTGCTGGGTCCCTCCTCGTGAGTCTGGAAGGGACACTGTGGGTGCTCACAGGGAATGCATGAGGTGGGGGAGACTCCTGGGAATGGGAAGGCTCCAGGTGACCTTCTGGGCTCCAGCAGAGCCCGCGTGAGCCTGGAGGCGCAAGGCAGACCCTCACCGACATCATAGAGAAGCCCGCAGAGGAGCCTGGGCAGTTACCCCTTGCTTGCCGGGAGGCTGCGGCTGGCCTGGCGTCGGGCTCTTTTATCCTCCAGTCCTCTTAGATTAAAGTCCCAGTACAGCCGTCCTCCTGCACTCTGTCTCCGTCCTTGTGCCCCTTGTCTATCACCAGCCTAGTCTGATCCACCCCTTCCTCCTCGCTGGCCTTCCACTCCACCTTACCCCTTGCTCCTTTCTCCTCCGTAAGCTAAGGGGGCTTTTAATGGCCCATGGAGCTTGCCA